ATTCTAATAGCTGACAAAATAGACTTTAAACTAAAATGATTAAGAAGACATAAAGAGGCCCATTTTATTCTGATCAAAGGAACAATAAACCAAGAAGATATTACAATCATGAACATATATTCACCAAACTCTGGTGCACCCAACTTCATAAAAACAGAGCTACAGGACTTTAAGACCCAGATTAATCCCAACTCATTAATAGTGGGGGAGTTCAGTACCCCACTGTCACCATTTGATAGGTCAACAGGACAGAGAGTTAACAGAGAGACATCTGAATTAAACAATACCATACATCAAATGGACCTAACAGACATCCACTAAGTATTCTACCCAAGCACCAAAGAATATACTTTTTATTTAGTTCCCCATGGAACCTCCAAAATCAGCCATATACTGGGGCACAAAACAAACCTCAATGAATACAAAAAGAATGAAATAATTCCATGCATTCTATCAGACCATAATGCAATAAAGCTTAAAATCAACACCAGAAGAAGCCCTACTCACCACACGAACACATGGAGATTAAACAACACACTCCTGAATGATGAATGGATCAAAAGAGAAATTAAGAAAGAAATAAAAGTATTCCTGGAACTAAATGAGAAGGACAATACAACACAACAAAACCTCTGGGACATGCTGAAAGCTGTCCTTAGAGGGAAGTTTATAGCTCTTAGTGCCTACATCAAAAAAAAAAAATCAGAAAGAGCACAAATAAATTACTTAACATTGCAACTCAACACACTTGAGACAAGAACAAATGAAACCCAAAAAGCAACAAGAAATAAAACCCAAACCCAGCAGACAAGAAGGAATAACAAAAATCAGAGCAGAAATTAATGAAATAGAAACAAAGTTAGCAATACAAAGAATCAAAGAGTCTAAGAGCTGGTTCTTTGAAAAGATAAACAAGATTGACAGACAGCTAGCCCAATTAATCAAAAGAAAGCAAGAACACCTCCAAATCAACAAAATCAGAGATGAAAGGGGAAACATCACACCAGACACCAAAAAGACCCAGAACATTATAAAGGAATACTTTAAAAACCTATATGCTACTAAATTTGAAAATCTAAAAGAAATGGACAGGTATCCAAAGACAGGGGAAACCACCAAAACTAATCCAAGACGAGATTAATAGCTTAAACAGACTCATAAAACAAAAAGAAATTGAAACAGTAATACAAAACCTCCTGACTAAAAACGTCCAGACCCAGATGGATTTACAGCAGAATTCTACCAGACATTTAAAGAAGATCTATATCCAATACTACTTAATTTATTCAAAAAGATAGAAATGGAGGGAGAACTTCCAAATTCTTTCTATGAAGCCAGGATCACTCTAATACCAAAGCCAGGTAAGAATACAACCAAAAAAGAAAACTATAGACCCATATCCTTAATGAATATAGATGCAAAAATTCTCAACAAGATACTTGCAAACCGCATACAGACACACATCAAAAAGATTATCCACCATGATCAAGTCGGCTTTATCCCAGAGAAACAGTTGACCTTCCTACAACAAAGACCTCTAGATAGGCTGACTAGATTCACCGGATGGACAAGTACTGGGGAACGGCTGGGGGTGCCGACACTACAGCAGACAGAAGCAGGGAAGACAGAGTAAAACGTCTCTAGTGGGGGGCGAGGCTATGGGAAGGTGCCATCTGGGAAGTGGGTATATAGATGAATAAGGTTGTTTGGGATGTTCTGTGTGGTATACACATACACACACACAAAAATCAACAAATTAAAGAAATGAGCTATATTTGAGGAGGAAGCATAAAAATTTACGTCATGTTAAATGGTAGAGGTGATAAACATTACCACTGAAATGTACCTGATCACTTTATATCCATACACAAGTGCTAAGGATCTGAGTGCAATGGACCATGATTAGTAATAATAATCAGATATGTACACATTAGAGACACATGCGCCAACATCTAAGTGTTATTCACAAAACAATGAGTCTTTCTGTAAGAAGCAATATATTTTAAAATGAAATGGAGATTTTTTTTTTGTTTTTTTGTCTTTTTGCGACAGGGTCTTGGTCTCAGATAAACCTTGTAATAATCAGATTCATACAGATTAGAGACACATGCATCAACATCTAAGTGTTAGTAGCAAAAACAATGAGTATTTCAGTAAGAAACAGTGTATTTTAAAATGAAATGGAGATCTTTTTTAAAGGTTAAAAACTCATTCAATGTTATGTCTTACAGGGTTTATTCTGAGCTCAATATTATATAACTATTAATTCAACTGTGAACCTAAAAATTTTATAGCCACTTTTGAAAGAGATGTATCTTTGCTCTGGAAATTGTTATTGAGTATGTTAAAGCTGTAATGAAATGCTTCTTATAAAAAAAATTTTTTTTTGGTCTTTTAGAGACAGGGTCTCCCTGTAGCCCCAGCTGTCCTGGATTCACTATGGAGACCAAACTGACCTTGAACTCATAGAGATCCACCTGCCTCTGCCTCCCAAGTGCTGGGATTAAAGGCATGCGCCACCTAAAATTTTTTTTAAAAATTAAAAAAAAATGTTTTAATATCAGTCATTAGTGTTGATTAGACACTAGGGAAATTTGACTTCCCTTTAAATTTGAACCAAGATGTTTAATTATATAATCATTTTGGGGCTGGATAGGTTGCTCAGAAGTTAAGAGTACTGGCTATTCTTGCAGAAGACCCAGGTCCGAATTCCAGCACCCACATGGTGGTTAACAACTGTTGGTAACTCCAGTTCCAGGGAATCTGACACCCTCTTCTGTCCTCCATGGCTACTGCATAACATGGGTACACTTACACACATGTAGGCTCAACATTCATGCACATAAAATAAATAACTAAAATTTTAAGAAAGAAGTAATCATTTTTAAAAATGAAATAATTCTTTCATTATGCTCTGTGTTATTCAGAAATCCTGAGCTATATTTTATCCCCTTCAATCTATAAGCCATAGAAAGCTGGGATTGACCATGTCAATTATTTTTGCATGCTAACAAATGACAGGCAGAGTGGGAATTTCTGAAAGGTGTTACCTATTCCTTAATTGATCATTCCTGCTATGTGGCATTTCTCAATTACATGGTGAGCTTTGAATTATTTGTTTTGACTAAATCACAGATAATCCTACCCTAGGAAAAGGATGAAATTTAAAATTTTTAATTTGGAAAATGGATTTGCATTTTAAATAACATGTATGCATTTGTGGCACATTTTTCACAGGTAATATATCTGTGCTGATGCTGCTGTAACCTCATGAGGTTGGCAGAATCCAGAGTAATTAAACTCCGTTTTACTGATGGGATAGCTAGTCTCATGCAGATTAAGTAACTTTTCCTACCAGACTGTCTAATGTTAGATATAGCACCAGAGTCTTTGGTCATTTCTTTATAGATTCAATGTACTTCCTGTTAAGAATATTTCCATAGCTAATATTTGTCTTCAGAACTTAAAATGTTGTTATTATGTTAGTCAGTTTTCTATTACTATAAAAAAATGCCTGAGAAAGATAAAATTATAAAGAGGAAAGGTTTACTGTAGCTCATAGCTTTGGCGATTTCAGTTCATTGGCCCCATTGCATCCTGTGGTGAGGCAGCATATCATAACAGGAGCACATGGTGGAGCAGAACTTCTCACCTCATGACTGGGGACAAAACAGAGGAAAAGGCTATTATCCCTTTGAGGGCATCCCCAAATAACCTAAGATAACCCACCTCTTAAATATTCCACCACCTCCCAGTAGCCCCAAGCTGGGGCCTTAGTGTTCAATACTTGGGCTTTAGGGGACATTCTAGGTCTAAACCATAGCAATCAGCTTGGTAAATTGCACCTTTAGAGTTTCTGGTATGCCCAATAACAGATAACAAGTGCTAATTTTTAGAACCTACAAATGTTACCTTCTAAGGACAAGGGGTGTTTGTAGACAAGATTAACGATTTCGAGAGGTTATCCTAGATTATGCCTATAGTCTCTAGTCAATCACAAATATCCTTATCAGAAAGAGGCAGGGGGAGATTTGACAAGCCAGAAGAGTAGAGCTCGGGCACAGAGCAGAAGCACCACTGCTGCAGAGACACTGGTGGACATTAGACAAGGAGTGCCAGCACCCACAAAGGAGCTCACAGCCACCTGTAACTCCAACTCCACGTGGTTTGACACCCTATACTGGCCTCCATAAGTACCTTTAAGAATGTGGTGTACTTTTGGAAGCCCTTGTCAAGAAACTCCAATAGACTCTCATACGAACATTTGAAAATTTCCCTGTTCTGACTTTTTTCTAGTTCCCTGTCTAGAACTTGTAATGCTAATTACTCTTGCCTTTACTTCTCCTTCACATCTCCCATTCATGACTCAAGGACTTTCTTCTCCCCTTAGAGACAAAAGATATGCAATCTGGGAGTCTTTTAGATAGACCCACTGAAGGGGTACTCCAGTTGCCTCATCCAACGTCCCTGTTCAGCATGGAAGAAGCCAAAGCGGTTGGCATCCCTATTCCCTATTGGCAATTTGGGTAATCCCTTCAGAGGATGGCATGATAAGAATAGGAGGTAGGAATTGGCTAGGCAGTTAGAGTAAAAAGACCCCAAAGAAATGTAGCCAGTTTCTTGGCTAAAAGTCAAACTGTCCTTGGGCCTGTTAGCAACATACTCTGTTCCGAGGCCAAAAATGCCAAAAGTATTTGGGAGTTTGTATATAATCCTTAAAAGATTTTAGGGTTACCTCTTCGGGGGGGGGAATGTTGGAGGGGAGGGAGCAGGCATAGATTTGATCAAAACACCTTATATGCATGTATGAAATTCTCAATAAATTTTTTGTAAAAAATAAAAAAGATCCTTAACTGGTGTAGATATTGATTCATGTAAAAACAAACTTTCATCTGATAAGTTAAAATCTGCCTAAGAAAAATGGAGAGCTTATTTTCATATTTATTTAAATGTCAAAAACTCAAAAATTCATAGCTAAAGAATGTTATTTGTCTTTGCAGAAAGAACATTGGAGCTGTCCTGCCTGGAAGTGTGTTTACAGCCTAATTTCACCAATCCACATTCCTCCTTAAATTTTTCTTTTGTGACTTTTCTACATCCAGCAAGGGAAACCCAGACTATTATGGGAATGTTTCTAAATCACTCCAATTTCCAAAGCTTCACTGAGAATTGCCAAGACATCGCACATGAATTTAAAATGTGTTCCTTATGTTTGGTTTGTGAGTCCAAAGGAGACATGGATTTAATTTCTCAGGAACAAACACCAAAAGGTAAATATAAGGAACAGAGTAAAATTTGCCAAGTATAAATTAAGTTATTCTTCTAATAAAAAAAAAGCATTCCAAGTCTTAGGAAATATCTCAGTAGTAAAGTACCTGCCTCACAGCATGAGCTGAGTTTTAACCCTGCATCCCACATAAAAAGCCCCTGTGGGGGCTAGAAAGATGGCTCCTAGGCTAAGAGTGCTTGCTGTTCTTGTAGAGGACTAGAGTTCTGTTCTGAGCACCCACATTGGATGTCTGTAACTACAGGTGTAGGGGATCTGATGCCCTCTTCTGTCCTCTATGGGCACCCACACACATGTGCACACACACACACATACATACACATAATAAAATAAATCTTTAAAAAAAGTCAAAGTGGTGGTGCCTGCTTGTTACCCCAAGGATGATGATGGGAGGCAGACAGGCAGATCCCTGGAAGCTCATTGCCCAGCCAGTCTAGCCAATGAGAGACCTTGTCTCAAACAAAAGGTGGAAGGCTCCTGAGGAATGAAACTGCCTGGGCTTGTCCTCCGACCTCCATATACACTCCATATACTCCATACACATATGCATTCATGCACACACATATGTACATCCACACACATGCACATACACACAAACACACACATGCATGCAGTGAATGAGTGAATGAGAGGTAGGGAGAGAGAGAGAGGGGGCAAGCATTTTATTTTAGCATTTGGTGGTTCTGGAACACTCAATGGTTGGCTCTCGATGAGTGATTTTACAGGGCTTTGAAATATTACTCATTTTTAGTTTACTTTAACTTACTGAAAACAAAAAGTCCATCAAAATGTCAGTGTAATTCCAAAGCATCTGGTAGCTTAAAGATTAGCTGAATGTTCTATTCAAAGAGACTGAATATTTAAGAAACAGTTCTGAGTAAACTTTTAATTTCTCACAATAAAATGAAATTTTGATTTTGTACAGAGCTACTGAACTCTTTTTTAAAATGTATATTTTTTTTACTTTTTAGAAGAAGCATTTCATTACAGCTTTAACATACTCAATAATAGTTTATAGAGCAAAGATACATCTCTTTCAAAAGTGGCTATAAAATTTTAAGGTTCACTGTTGAATTAATAGAGTTATACAATATTGAACTCAGTATAAACCCTGTAAGACATAAAATTGAATGAGTTTTTAACCTTTAAAAAAGATCTCCATTGCATTTTAAAATATACTGTTTCTTACAGAAAGACACATTATTTTTGCTAATAACACTTTGATGATGGTGCATGCATCTCTAATCTGTATGTATCTGATCATTACTAGTCATAATTGGTTGCACTCAGATCCTTGGCGCCTGTGTATATCTATAAAGTCATTGGGTAGATTTCAATGGTAATGTTTATCACCTCTACTAATTAACATGACATAACTTTTTATGCTTCCTCCTCAAATATAATTCATTTAAAAATTTTGTTGATTTTTTTGTGTGTATATCACACAGAACATCCCAAACCATCTTACTCATCTATACACCCACTTCCCAGATGGCACCCTCCCAAAGTCTCCCCCCGACACACACTAGAGCCCGTATGGTCTGTTATCCCTGCTACTATCCACTGTGTTGTCCACACCCCTAGCCATTCCCCACTTTTTGTCCATCTGGTGAATCTAGTCAGCCTATCTAGAAGTCTTTGTTTTAGGAAGGTCAGCTGTTCCTCATCTAGCAGCAATCAGTTGTCAATATTCCATTAGATAAGATTGGGATCTGCTGTTCATTTTCCCAGTTTTATGCTGGATTACTATCTGGGAGTCCCTTGGGCCACCCAGGCCACCAACTCAAAAGAAGGTATCTCCTATCTGGCATTGTTGCTTGTTATGTAGCCTTTAGCTATGCATATGGACTCTTAAAAAATTATATTGGCTCCTTTCATTTTTGGTTATACTTTCCTTTTGGGTGTTTAAGGCCATACAGTTGGCCCAGATAAACCAATTTATTTTTACTCTTAAGGTTGTTTGGGGATCTGTTCCTCAGGGGTCACATGCGCTTGGGAGGAGCCCCCTGGCTCCTTTCTTTTACCAGTTCTTCCTATGTGAATCAAAGTCAAAGGTCCTGCTCGGCCATGGTTGGCTTCCCTTGGAAGCATGGAGGAAATGATTCCTCTGTGTTGACTCTCCTCTTTGTAGACTGGACATTGGTTCGAGTCCATCTCATGGGGTCTCCACGGCCTCCTTGATCAAGAGGACAGGTGATCCACCACAATTACAGGACATTTTGAGAGATGCTCATAGTCCCCTGGCATTAGTCAACCTAGGAGGGCAAGGAGCAAAAACTGTCCTTTATGTCCCTCTGACCAAATTAGTATAGGCCTCAAAGTATGTCTGTTAAACATCCAAGAAGGTTAGTTCCACCAGTCTGGTACTTTTAATTACTGTGTGTCATGTAGATAAATCTTGGGCAAAGACCAATTGTTCTCAGATAAACCTTGCCTAGACATATATTTCTTGATCTGGTATGTATAATTTGCCAGTAGGTTGTTTGACTAATATGGTTCCCACTGGCTTTAAAACTAGCTAGGCATTATTTATCTCTTGCATTGTCTAGCCCCTCCATCATGATTTCCCCAATCAAGTTGCCCCCATTTTCCCCCTTTCTCCCTTAATAATACCCTTCTCCTATGGTCCTCTCTTGAGCTTTTTCTTTCAATTTATCCCCTAGGTTTCTTGTATACCCTTCCCTCCCCCCTCCCTTAAACTAACCCAATTTTTATCCATATCTCCCTTATTAACACCTGTTTCCTACTGTTCTTCTCTTTCAGATTCTTTCTTTTCCTTTACCTCCCTGTTTCTTTTCCATTAGCCTGGTTCCTGTAGTTATGTCTGGATACATAATCACTTATCAGGATTCGGTTCTAGGGTCCACATATGAGGGAGAACATATGTTGATTTGTTTTTCTGAGTCTGTGTTACTTCATTTAGTATAACAGTTTCTAGTTCCATCCATTTACCTGCAAATTTCCTGATTTCATCTTTACTGCCTGAGTAACACCATACCTGCATCTCTGGAATAAAGCCGACTTGATCATGGTGGATGATCTTTTTGATGTGTGGCTTTATGTGGTTTGCAAGTATCTTGTTGAGAAGTTTTGCATCTATGTTCACTAAGGATATGGGTCTATAGTTTTCTTTTTTGGTTGTACCTGGCTTTTGTATTAGAGTGATGCTGGCTTCATAGAAGGAGTTTGGAAGTTCTCACTCCATTTCTATCTTTTTTGAATAAATTGAGTAGTATTGGATGTAGATCTTCTTTAAATGTCTGATAGAATTCTGCTGTAAATCCATCTGGTCCTGGGCTTTTTTTAGTCAGGTGGTTTTGTATTACTGTTTCAATTTCTTTTTGTGTTATGGGTCTATTTAAGCTGTTAGTCTCTTCTTGGTTTAATTTTGGTGGTTCCCATGCCTTTAGATACCTGTCCATTTCTTTTAGGTTTTCAAATTTAGTAGCATATACATTTTTAAAGTATTCCCTTGTCATGTTCTGGATCTTTCTGGTGTCTGTTGTGATGCTTTCCCTTCCAGCTCTGATTATGTTGATTTGGAGGTGCTCTTTCTATTTTTTTTCTTTTTTTTGGTTAACTGTGCTAGCAGTCTGTCAATTTTGTTTATCTTTTCAAAGAACCAGCTCTTGGATTTGTTGATTCTTTGTATTGTTTTTTTTTTGTTTTGATTTCATTAATTTCTGCTCTGATTTTTGTTATTTCTTCTTGTCTGCTGGGTTTGGGTTTCATT